CTTTTCATAATATTATTCTTTCTTCCCGAAACTTTTAATAGAAGCTCTTCAAAACCTGTTCAAACCCCTCAAACTCGATCACAATTTAGGTTTAATCCAATAACCCCACTAAAATTACTAAAATATCCAAACGTTACACTTGTGGTGATATATATAACAGTAATATATACAATAATTCATATTCAAAACATTAGCGTTCCTCGAAATTTTTCCACAAAATATAAATTATCAGAAGCAAGTATTGGATTATTATTTCTTGCACCTTGTGCTGGATTTATATTCGGAAGTTTTATAGGAGGAAAATATTCAGATTTTCTATTAAAAAAAACATTAAATTCCGATGGAACTCTTCCAGAAATTAGAATACTTAGTGTCTGGTTTGGCACATTATTAATTCCAATTACTTGCTTTATTTATGGATGGCTATTAGAGGATAATTTTCGTTACGAAGTATTGTTAGTCGTATGGTTCTTTTGTAAGTTTAAATTATATTTTTTATTGAACTCTATCGAAAAAGACCTGATTTTTAACTTTTTTTTTAAAAAAAAAAAATCTTTAAAGGCGCATTTGGAATATTAAGCTCATTTAATTCTTTAGCAACATACCTTGTTGATGCATGCCCTGGACGTGGTGCTTCAGTGACAGCATTAAATAATTCTATTAGATATATAATAGCTGGAATTTTGACAATTTTTGAAACTACAATAGAAGATAATTTTGGTATTCGTTGGTCATTTGTTTTCATAAGTGGTTTAAGTTTTATTGGTATATTTTTATTAGTGTTAGTATATATTAAAGGAAGATTTTGGAGAGAGAAATATTTTACTGTAGCGTGATTATTATTCTTTTAAAATCTGTATATACCTAGACATTTCACAGTATATATATTGTAAGTGGATTCGGAATTTTGTAGATTTCGAATCCACTTAAGTGTGAATCGGATCTTAAAACGACTCATGTGGTGATGAAATTTAATTATTAATCAATTATTATACGTATTTAAAAATATATTCAAATAAATAATTATTTTATCTTTTTCTTTTCTATTCGAAATGTCAACGCCAGAAGAATACACATTTATTTCAAGACAAATATCTAATGATTTAATTAATAAATATCTTGAAGAAAAATCATTAAGTAGACGTCGTAAAACGGATCAACATTGGATTAAAACTTCCTTTCAACTTTGAAAATTAGGGATCGAAACCAATAAATTGCTCAAATTATTACTGTTACGAAGAATGAAAATATATCAGAATTGATACGTACTATATGCCCATTTAATCGTCTTTATGATATATTATGTAAGTTTCATGTAGGCGTTTTAAAACACATTGGAGCATTCAAAACGTGGAATGTTGTAAGTTTATTTTTTATTCAGTTTAGCAAAAAACGAATTCATTTTTTGCTAAACCTAATATACATCTTTGGCAATGTAATACTAATTATTTTTAGATTGGAAAACAATATAACTATATTTCTGAGTTCAAGAACTTAAAATTTTGTGAACTGCACGAGTAGAAGTAAAAGAAATCGCAGACTTCAAAATTCTAAAAGAGAATGAGGTGGT